TGTCCTCATGTCGCACAGCGGAGCCGTTCCTGAGCAGCGTCAGCAGGCGTCAGAGGCGGACAGCACGGCAGCAACCTTCCGGGCGAGCGGTAATTGCAGGGCGGCTGGGACTCGCTGGAACCCGACCTGAGCCCTCCCTTTCCTTAGGGAGTTCTCGCCACCACCCCAAGCAAGGCCGGCGAGGCGGAGAGAGACGCGTGTGTAGGGGCTGCAGGCCAGTTGGCGCTGGCAAGGTCCAGTCCTGGGCCTTTAGTTCCTGAGCAGGACGGGGCAGAGAGGGTGTTCCCGAGCTTGGGCCTGCTGGTGGGTGAGACCCAGGGGAGAGGGAGACAGTTTTGGGGTCTGATCTTGACTATCTGTCTCCAGACCATCAGCATATCCGCTACAACCCGCTGCAGGATGAGTGGGTGCTGGTGTCAGCTCACCGCATGAAGCGGCCCTGGCAGGGGCAAGTGGAGCCCCAGCTTCTGAAGGCAGTGCCGCGCCACGACCCCCTCAACCCTCTGTGTCCTGGGGCCACGAGGGCCAATGGAGAGGTAAACCTGTAGAGCCCTGCATCTGCAGGCTGGGCTGGGGGAGTAGCTCTCGCCTAGAGCTGCCCTTCACTCACAAGGGCAGTGGACCTCCTCTGGGTCATATCCCACCAAGCCTTTTTGTGCCTAAAGTGGGCCTTCCCCACCCCATCGTAGCATGTCTAGCCCTTGAAGCCCACCACGTGACAGTAGTATGGGGCAGCGAATGCTTCTCTAGCCTATCCTTGTCAGGTAAATCCCCACTATGATGCCACCTTCCTGTTTGACAATGACTTCCCAGCTTTGCAGCCTGATGCCCCCAGTCCAGGTAACCTGACTCCAACTGCTGTTAGGGAGGAGGGAGGCTAGACTTCTTGGCGGATTTCTGCTGCAGAGAGTGATACTTGTTTATCTCAGGACCCAGTGATCATCCCCTTTTCCAAGCAGAGGCTGCTCGAGGAGTCTGGTAATTATGGATTTCCCCTCTTACAAAGTTCAGCCCAGGGTTGTAGCCTGAGCACTGGGGTTGGGCCCCACCCCTAGCACAGCCATGCCCTATCCCTCTGTTATCCCTTGCCCCTCACCACCTAGTAAGGTCATGTGCTTCCACCCCTGGTCGGATATGACACTGCCACTCATGTCGGTCCCTGAGATCCGGGCTGTCGTCGATGCATGGGCCTCAGTCACAGAGGAGCTGGGTGTCCAATACCCTTGGGTGCAGGTTTGTGAGGTCACCCCCTCCCCTGGATGGGCAGGGAGTGGGTGGTGCAGCTTTGGTTCTGGGAAGTAGCATTCCTGTTTCCACAGGGTGTGGTCAGGAGGGGGCTCAGTTGGTGTCTTTGGCTACTAAAGCTCGCTACCCCTACCCAATAGATCTTTGAAAACAAAGGAGCCATGATGGGCTGCTCCAACCCCCATCCCCACTGCCAGGTAAGGGTGTCCGGGGCTCCAATGGGTTTCTTGGCTGGGTCCTAGCCTGCACTGTGGGCAGAACTGAATTAATGGGACAAAGGAAATATGCTAGTGATGTGGAGGCTTGGAGGTAAAGGACTTGCCTGCCCTTCTCTGCTTTTGTTTCTTGACAGGTGTGGGCCAGCAGTTTCCTGCCAGATATTGCACAGCGAGAGGAGAGATCTCAGCAGGCCTATCAGAGTCAGCATGGAGAGCCCCTGCTAATGGAGTATAGCCGCCAGGAGCTGCTCAGGAAGGTGGGAGAGAGCCAAGCTCTGTGTCTTTAAGGAGTCCCTAGCTTAAAGAGAGAGGTGTGTGAAGGAGAAAGGTAGAAGGGAACTAGAGGAGATACTTTCTAGGAGGCCCTAGCAATAATCTAAAAGAAAGAGAATGGTAGCTTAGATTACTAGTGGTAGTGGTAGAGGTGGTGAGAATCCATCAGATTCTGGGTACATTCTTTTCTTCTTCTTCCTGCCTATTTGCTGGCACCTGTCTCCCCCCATGACCTCATATCCATTCTGTCTGCCCAGGAACGTCTGGTCCTAACTAGTGAGCACTGGTTAGTGCTGGTCCCCTTCTGGGCAGTGTGGCCCTACCAGACACTGCTGCTGCCCCGTCGGCATGTGCGACGTCTACCTGAACTGACTCCTGCTGAACGTGACGGTGAGGACGTTGAGGCCTTGGGGCTCGGCACCAGATGGGAGTGGCTCCAGTAGGGCCAGTGTCTGGGCCTCAGGCTGAGATTCAGGCTCTGATTCCAGATCTAGCCTCCATCATGAAGAAGCTATTGACCAAGTATGACAACCTATTTGAGACGTCCTTTCCTTACTCCATGGGCTGGCATGGTGAGGCCTTTTGAGTACCTATTCTCCAACACCATTTCTGGGCACCTGGGGCCCAACCCAGTGGACTATAAACCCTAGTGAGCCTTAACATTTGCTGGGGAAAGTGTCCAGAACAGGGATGCTGGGACTGAGGTTGATGCAGCAAACTTGGTGAAACTATGTCTTCAGTGTGCTTTCTAAGGCCTGGGCTCCTCTTTGGCAAAGCGATGTAGTTTTCAGGTACCTGGCCTGGTTTGGGGGTAGAGGCTAGGCTGAAGAACTAACAAAGGGCTCTCCCCACTATCTCTGCTTTCTTTTTCTGTCAGGGGCTCCCACAGGATCAGAAGCTGGGGCCAACTGGGACCACTGGCAGCTACATGCTCATTATTACCCTCCGCTCCTGCGTTCTGCCACCGTCAGGAAATTCATGGTTGGCTACGAAATGCTTGCCCAGGCTCAGAGGGACCTCACTCCTGAGCAGGTCAGGGCACAGAGTATCCTAGGTTCTCAGGTCCCCTTTTCTCTCCCACTTCCTTGACAGAGTCCAACAATCATGACCCTGAGAACCATCATAACAACCTGGGCATTCTTTGGGACTTAGGAGCTGCTCAACCTCCCTCATCCTCTGGTGACTCCAGCAGTCTTTTTTTCCCAGTCCCACATGTATCCTGAGCACTCAGAACACTGTACCACCATTCTGGCCAGCCCTTACCCTCCCTGATTGCCCCCTATCTCCATTCCAGGCCGCGGAGAGACTAAGGGCACTTCCTGAGGTACATTACTCCCTGGGGCAGAAGGACAGGGAGACAGCAGCCATCGCCTGACCACGCTGACCACAGGGCCTTGAATCCTTCTGCCTGGGGAAACTGGGGCCTGGAATTTGGGCAGATGTAGTAGCATCAATAAAACTGTGCTTCTCAAACTTTAATCTATATTGGAACATCAGAGGATATGAACTCTAGCCTTCAGGGATCTCAGGTTAAATGCTAAAGACATAGCTCCAGCCACACTTTTCTTTGTCTACAGTTGTGTAAAAACTTGATGCAAAATTTATATTCCAAGTCTCTGAAAAAAATTAGTACTCTCCCCCAGCCTAAATCTCTGAACAAAATTAATATTCTCCCCTACCCCTAATGTCCAAAAAAAAATTAATATTCAGTATTACATCTGGTCTATAGATTCTCTCACTCATGGTGTAATGACTGCATTCCCAGTTTAGGAAACTGTTTTAAAATCTTGTGTTTTGGGCTGTGGCTGAGGCTTTGGGAAGGCCAGAGCCCCCTTTGCCACCACCCCTGGGTATCAGCTCCAAGCCTGGGCCTGAGGGTTTGGTGGGGAGCGCGTAAGCTGGATCCTGGTCCCAGTGGTCAGTGGCCAGGCTCTGGGCTGCTGGCCAGAACCCTGGCTTTGTAAGTGGCTACAGCTTGGCTCTGCTCCAGCCCACAGGGGCTGAAGGGGCGGGACTGGAGCGTGTAGGTGGCTTTGTGTCCTTGGCCTCTCCAGACTCCCACGTGCAGTAAGTATAGGCTCTGTACACATAGGCTTTGTTGCCCTTGTGCCCGAATCATTGAACAGGTCAGAAAACAGCTCCAGCAGGGAAGGGGGCTGCCAGAGTTAGTCCGAGAGCTTGGAAGGAGGGCATGGTTCTCAGAGTGACCCTTGGTCTACCCCCTCCCCTCTGGACCTGTTTACCTGGCAAGAGTATGTGAAAAACAGACCATGCAACCCAGGAGACCTGATATTACCTAGTGTCCTCCAAATTTTAAGGTGAAGGTAGGGCTGGTGAGTAATGGCAGAGGTGGCCAGAATGCTTTTTGTTCCCATTGTTTTCTCAGGGGAACTAAGTCTCTTGGTGGGGAAATCACACTAAGGCTGAACAGCAAGAGGACCTGGCCCAGAAGAACTTTGGCTGCCTGCCCTCTGGTCCAGGGTCTTTCTTCCTTGGTACCTGGAAGGGGAGGTGCCTAGTTTGGAAGGAGATCAGACATAACATAGTATGTTCACATTTCCCTGGAGCCCCTAGTGAGTAGGAAGTGGATAAGAGCCCTGGGTGAGTGACTGGTTTCTTAAGGCATAATTACCTGCACCGTCCCCCCCCCCAACTTATTTGGCTGCATTTTGGAATCATCTGGGAAGTTTTAAACAATACTGATGCTTAGGTCTAACCTCCAGAGGTTTTGATTTAATTGGTATGGAGTGGAGCCTGGCAGTTCTAAAACCACAATACCCAGGAAAGTTTAAGAACCACTGCCCTATACCAGCCCGCTTCCCTTATCTTATCTGGAGTCAAGGACACCTTCTGTTTCTCAATCACCTGCCCAGTGGCTCCTGAGCCCTGAATCTGAGGCTTTGTTGGTGGACAGCTGGGAGGGGGAGGGGCCGAACGCTTCCAGTCCTGCGGTCCCAGGGAGGACAGGCCTTCAGGCGAGGACCCAGGAATCCAGCTCCAGACTCTGTCCGCTGCAGCCTCTTCAGTCTGGGACGGGACAGGAAGTGTCCGGCAGAGGAGGGGGTGGAGGTGATTGGCAGTTGGAGGCTCCAATGGGCCGGGAGCCCCCCCTATTTCACCCCTCTCCTTCTATTGGCGCCTGGGCGGAGCCGCCCCCACCGCGGGGCCCCGGGGCGGGAGGGACTGGAGGCCGGGGCAGAGGGCGAGGGCAGAGGGCGCTGGCGGCAGCGGCCGCAGAAGGTGAGGCCTGGTGGGGCCAGCGGGTGTAGACGACGAAGTCTTGCCAGAAGGGGGCGGGGCAGGGTGGCGTATGCTCTAAAGGGCTCGAATAACTGACAGCGTGTGTGTGTGTGTGTGTGTGTGTGTGTGTGTGTGTGTGTGTGTGTGTTTATCTGTGAGGCTGTGTCTGTGTGTGACGATGTTATTGTATGTGAGACTGCGTGTCACCTGGTGCAGCTGTCTGCTAATGTGACTGCGTGTGTCAGTGTGCATGCAGCTGAGTCTGTAGCTGTGCAAGTGTAGCTGTCCAAGTGTGGAGTTACGTGTGGGTCCTCCCATGCACAGGTTTTGGTGAGATTGGGCTGTGTGTTGGTATGTGTGAGAAGGACTGTGACCACATCAGGGAATGTGTTTTGGGAAGGTCTCTGTAGGGTTTAAGACTGCCTACCAGCGTAAGAGTGGATGGCTGGGTTTGTGAGTGCCAATGTGTGACTTCAGCAGTAGCAGAGCAAAAGTGAGACTTGTGACTATGTGTGTGTCCTATGTCCTAACTTAGACTGTGTGGGAGTATGACTGTGTTCATATATTGGGGGACCCACTTCAGTAGCTGATAGGACTGACTTTCTACTTTGTATCCAGCACAGTCAGTCCCCAACACACGTGGCTTCCTCCTTCTGTTCAAGAATTCCCACCACTGGTCTACGGCTGCTTATTTTCTGTTTCTGTGTCTGACTCAGTTTCCTTGCATTCCTTTTTCTCTTCCTATTACTCTCTTCCTAGAGATATCTCTCCCTGTCTCTTCACACTTTTGTCTCCCCAGCTATATCTGTGTATGCACTTTTCTAGTTGTGCCTCTCATGCTTTTCATCTCTGTGTCCCTGTTCCTGACTCCCCATTTGCCTTCATCTCTCTGGCTACCTGGGGGCCTGTAACAGCCATGCAATGTGGATCAGCCATTGCCAGGAGCTCCCTTGTAGAGGGTGCTTTAACCATGATGAGGAGTTGTTTTTAGGGAGTGCTGTGACCCCATCCCAGGGGCAGTGTGTGTCTGTGTGTATGTGTGTGTGTGTGTGTGTGTGTGTGTGCATGAATGTGTGTAAATGTGTCTGAGTCTGAGTGAGGATGTCTGAGTGTGTTGGTGTGGCTGTGAGTGACTGAGAGTGTGAGTCTGAGGGTAAATGTGGGTCTTGTGTATCTGGCACCAAGGGACCAAAGGCATTTCCTGGTGCTGGGGCCCAAAGAGTAGAGGGGGAGGTGAGAAATGGCTGGAACTTCCAGGTTGGTGGAGGGGACCAGACTCTTTGGCCTCTCCTTATGTCCCCCAACCTGGGGCCTCCCTTCTCCTCAAAACACAGTCAGCTGTGCCCTAAGGAAACATTTGCTGAAGAGTGAAAAGAGTGGGAGCATGAGTCTGTGTCTGATTTTTTGTTGGATTTTGTCCATGTGTGTTGAAGGGAGTGTCTTTTCTGTTAACTGTGCCTAGTGAGTCCACGCGTGAATGTGGCTGTGTTTGGCTGTGTGAAAACACAGGGCATCTCTCATTGACAGGGACATAAGCATAAGTAACCCTCCTCTCCCTCTTGCTGGCCTTGGCTGCATCTGTGGCTTCCTTTCCAGACTTGGGGGAGGCCTCTTCCCTTCCCAGGGCCTCGGGTGGGAAGGCAGGGGGGAGGAGGAGTCGGGGGAGGGGGCCTGGCTAGGGGCGGCTGAGCTCTGGGGCTCAGAGGGGGCGGGACAGGGAAGGGGAAGGAGGGGATGGTTCTGGGGTCCCAGAACTCAGTGGAGCAGGAGACGGGTGCTGGAGCTGGTGGGAGGAAGTCCTGGAGGCCATGGACACTCAGCCACTGGGATCACCAAGGTAGGGCGGGGCTAAGCAGGGTAAATGTGGCTAGGGGGTCAGGGGTGAGCTAACTAGACACAGACAGACAGACAGACACACGGAGGCCCCTGTTTGTGCTACTTGTGTTCTGGAGGGGTCTGTGCTCTTCCTCTTCTGGTGCTCTCACCCAGGGCCCTCTCCCTATCTGTCCCTTCATTTCCCGTGGCCACTTCCCCACTGCCTTCCTCCTCTTGCTGCCCACTCTAGAGTCCCTCTCTCCTACACCCCATTCCCTTATAGACATTCTGTTAGCCCCTTCTGGGATTTTGAGTTCCTGCTGTCCCCAGCCCTCCCCTTACTGAGCCCCCATTGCCTCCCAGTGTCCTGATCTCTGAGTATCTCTTGGTGCTGTGGCCCCCACTCCAGGCTCCTGCCCTGCAGGCTCCCAGCTCCTCTCAGTCTCCCCTCCCCGCCACCCTGTCTCCATCTCCATCTGCTGGCTCCTTGCCAGCCCCCAGCCTCTGGCAACAGCCAGGGCATCTGGATCCGCTTAACTCCACAGCCCTGGCCGGTACTCTAGCCCCATCCAGCCTCCCAGACTTGAGACCAACAAGATTTCAGAGCCAGACCCAGCTGAATGGCCCAAGTAGCCAGAGCAAGGAGCCAAGCCCAGGCGAGAGGCTTGGCAGCCAGAGTAAGGCTAGGCCTCACGGTGGGACTACAGGGTGGGCTGAGACCCACAATGACAGCCCCTCCCCCCAGGGTGATAAGGTCTGGCCCAGGTTCATCAGAGGCAGTGATTAGCCCTGGACCAAGTGGGGGTGAACACCAGAATTCCCAACAGCTAAAGCTGGATTGGAGGGGTTAATGGGAATGGCTGAGTTGGTGCCGACACTTGGTGCCAGGGGTGGGCGCCAAGGGCTGCAGTGGGCGGGGTGAGGGGGTGTTGCTGGCACAGAATCTCGCCTCCGGCTTTTGTTCTGGGCCCTAAGCCCAGGACTGAGGGCGTGAGGGTGTATGTGTGTGTGTGCATGTGCATGTGCGTGAGCGTGTGTGCACGCAGCAATGGGGACTTTGGTCAGATCCCTCAATTATTTCTGGTAGCTTTACCCCATTTGGTGCATCAGTTTTCCTCCTAGGAAGTCCCAGTTTTGGAGAGGAGCAGCCAGGCTTTAGCCTCTTATCTCAGGGATGGGGGCTCCCTGACTCTGTCTCTCTCCCACAGATGAGCAGCAGTTGCTCAGGGCTGAGCAGGGTCCTGGTGGCCGTGGCTACAGCCCTGGTATCTGCCTCTTCCTCTTGCCCCCAGGCCTGGGGCCCCCCAGGTGAGAAGAACCCTGCTTGATGAGCTCCAACTCTGACTTGTGACTTGCCACCCGCACTATAGCCCTTTCCTGTTACAACCCTGATACCCAACAGGGGTCTCCTCTCTATCCTGTCCTTTGACCCCTATCTCCAGATTATAACACGATGCTTTGATCCAACGACCCCTGCCCAGGGCTTAACAATCTGCTCTTTATCCTATCCCTCTCACAAAGTGGTGGTGGTGGGGGGGACAGGTAAAGGAAGAGCCTTACCTCAGAAGTGCCCTCCACAGGGGTCCAGTATGGGCAGCCTGGCAGGCCTGTGATGCTGTGTTGTCCCGGAGTGACTGCTGGGTAAGTGCCCCACCTGCCTGTTGGACTGACACTCGTGACCCTTTTTTGACCCTGCCCAGTCCTCATATCCCTTCCCTCCCTTGCCCGTCTCTCTGTAATTCTCACCTCTCTATCTGTCCTAACCCTCTAAACATCCTTCAATTCAACCAATATATACTGAGCACCCGCTAAGTGCTGGGTCTGTTCTAGGCTCTGGGATACAGTTGTGCACGAGCCAGGCAAGCCACCTGTCCTCACAGAGCTTACATCCTAGCGGGGAGACAGACAATAAACAAATGAGAATCTTGCCAGGTAGTAATGCCTGCAGGCCAGAAAAGCCAAAGAGAGTGATGTGGAAGAGGGTAACTGAGTGGTTATGTCTTACTGGTAATCAGGAAAGGTCTCTCTGAGGAGGTAACATTGAGGCTGATTTCTGAAGGCCAGGAAGGAGGCAGCCCTGCACAGATTAGGGTATAACCAGTGCTGACAAAGGGAACAGCTTGTGCAAATGCCCAGAAGTAGGAATGAGCCCTATATCTCCGAGAAACAGAAAGAACACCAATTGTGGCTGGAGTGCAGTGGGTGAGCAGGAGAGAGGTAGAAGATGAAGAAGGAAAAGGAGGCAGGGGCTAGCTCAAAGGGCTTTTATATATCAGTGGAAGGAATTTGGGTTTTATTGCAAGTGCAGTTAAAAGCCAATGGAAAGCTTTGGCATGATCTGACTATACTTAAAATCCTCTGTCTGTCATCATCTCATCTTACCTCCAGGGCCCCAGTGTCCTGGTTTCGGGACGGAGAACCAAGGCTGCTCCAGGGACCGGACTCTGGGCTAGGGCCTGAACTGGTCCTGGCCCGGGCAGACAGCACTGACGAGGGCACCTACATCTGCCGGACCCTGGATGGGGCACTTGGGGGCATGGTGACCCTGCAGCTGGGCTGTGAGTTGGGGAGGGTAGAAGCAACGAGACATGGGGCTCCTGAGGGAATTCGGGACCTGATTAAGCCCTCTGGGATAGTGAGGACCTGGGGACTGCTCAGTCTCCAGCTGTACTCTCTGCCTCTAGACCCCCCAGCCCGCCCAGTTGTCTCCTGCCAAGCAGCTGACTATGAGAACTTCTCCTGCACTTGGAGTCCCAGCCAGGTCAGCGGTTTACCTACCCGCTACCTCACCTCCTACAGGTGTGTGCGTGATCGGGTGAGTGTGCCTACACATTTGGGTGTGCTGGCACAACATGGTGTAAGAAGCAGGGAGGGAGCTTCTGAGGAAGGCCTCAGAGAGGGCAGAAGGGCCTTTTCTCCTTCCTGACTTCAGATGGCCCCCTTCCCACCAGGAAGAAGATGGTACCAGGAGCTGATGGCCAGAGGTAGGACTTGAAAGAGAGACTGGGGGCTCCAAATGGGTCCCACATTCCAAAGTCCAAGACCACATCCTCCCTCCTAGGAGGAGTCCATCCACAGGGCCCTGGCCATGCCCACAGGACCCCCTAGGGGCTTCCCGTTGTGTGGTCCATGGGGCAGAGTTCTGGAGCCAGTACCGGATTAATGTGACTGAGGTGAACCCACTGGGTGCCAGCACACGCCTGCTGGATGTGAGCTTGCAGAGCATCTGTGAGTACCCACCCCAGCCCGCCACAGAGACCCCAATAGATTCAGACCCCTCCACCCTCAGAGCTCCCAAACAGTCCCCTCCCAACATAGACTCCATTACACACATATATGGCCCTGTGGAGACTAAGAAGGCAAAGGATCAGAGCCCAGGAGCCTCAGCACACACTCTAGAGGCTGCTGCCACTGCCCACAAGTCCCTCCTGGCTGCCTAGGCTCAGAGCCGACTCCCTGTTTCCAGTCCATGTGCTTAAGGCAGCCACAGCTCATGTCCTCCCTGCCCAAGGGAAGCCTGTGCTGGCCCCTTCTTCCTCTTGATCTGTGCGTGGGAGTGGGGCACTAAAACTCTCGATGGAATTTGGGCCAGTTCATCTTCCTTGGGTGAAAAGAACAATCGCTCTTTTATTCATTCAAAAAACACTTCAAAAGCTCACCCCCAGATTTCAGCTCATTTTATAATAAAGATGACAGGTTCTGAGCCTAATGGATAGTTAAGTTTAAGATTTCTCCTTGCCTCTTGGGAGCACCAGGCTAAGGTGGTTTTAAACACACACCTTGGGAAGTGCTTGGGGAAAGTGAGTACCTGTCCCCTACCCTGACTTTGTGTCTCACTGCCCTTAGTGCGCCCTGACCCACCCCAGGGGCTGCAGGTGGAGTCAGTACCAGGTTATCCCAGGCGCCTGCGTGCCAGCTGGACATACCCGGCCTCCTGGCCCCGCCAGCCCCACTTCCTGCTCAAGTTCCGGCTGCAGTACCGTCCAGTGCAGCATCCAGCCTGGTCCATGGTGAGGCCTGCAGTGCATCCCAACCTGTCTCTGATGTCATGAGCCTGGGTGTTCTGCATAGCTTCCCAGTGCTGGCAGTTCACTGAAGCCTTGACGCCTCCCCCTAAAGAGTATTCCCCATGGGCCAGGCTTTGTGCTGGGTGCTGGGGTTGCGGTGGTGACTGACACACTGAGTCTTTGCCCTGTGGGCTGTAACTATCTAGTGTAAGCCCATTTGTGGGAAGACAGCAGTGGCTTTTAAAAAATAACTCTTCTTGTAACCATAGAGCCTAGTCAAGAAAAAAAAAATAAATGAATGAAAAATAACTGTTCTAGGAAAAGGAGTGCCTTTTACCCACAGGCACATTCTCACACAAACACTTACCTCCCTAGCCAAGGATGGTAGTGAATTCCCATATCTGGAGATGTCAAAGATTGGCTGGCATCAGGTCTGGAAAGCAGCAGCATATGATAATAGTCAATGTTTATGTAGTGCTTTCTGCCTGGTGGGCACCATGCCACACCACATCTTGTTTAGGAATATTCACCCCCATTTTGGAAATGAAGAAACTGAGGCCCAAAGGCCCCAAAGGTCACTAAGTATGTGGTTTAGTAAAAATTCGAAACCAGGTAGCTTGACACTACCCCCCTTTAATCACTACATACTACCATCTTCCAAATTCTAGGTGTAGACCCAAGTCCAGAAGATGCCCAGCGTGAGGCCTAGATAGCTCCACTAGGCCGACAGAGACAGGACTGGGAGGAAGGGGTGCTCTTTACAGACTGCAGCTAGGCAGGCTCTGCACTTACAACCTGGATGTCGCACCAACAAACCATTTTCAACCCCAGGTGGAACCAGCTGGATTGGAGGAGGTGATCACAGACGCTGTGGCTGGGCTGCCCCATGCTGTACGGGTCAGTGCCCGGGACTTTCTGGACGCTGGCACCTGGAGTGCCTGGAGCCCAGAGGCATGGGGGACTCCAAGCACTGGTGAGAGACAAAGCCAAAGAAAGGGACAGAGACCCCACCCCAAAGCATTAGAGACCCCACCCCATCTCAGCTGGATGGGTTCACAAAAGGCGGCCACACATGCCCTGCCTACCCACACATTGCAGTTGCTGTCCCAGGCTTCAGCCTCATTTGCCTGCAGCCTTGCCTTAGCTTCAGTCCTCTCAGCCTCCACCCCTGCATTTACAGGCTTTACTTCCACCAGCTACATCCTCAAGGATCTGGCCATGCCCTTTCAGGCCCCCCTACTTCCAACTCAGACTTTGGCCCCACCTACAGGACCTGGCTCTTGCCCCTACCACATGTGGACACTTCACAGGTCTCGACTTCCTTTAGGGCCCCTACCGAAGGAAATACCAGCTGGAGGCCAGCTATACATGCAGCCAGAGGCGGAGCCTCAGGTGGACAGCCCGGCTCCTCCAAGGCCTTCCTTTCAACCAGACCCGAGGCCGCTTGGTGAGCTTGGGCAGATGGGCAAAAGTTGTAGAAGACCAAAAGCCCCAGAGAGAAGGGGCACTGAGCTTGGTCAGGCTTGCTCTCACAGTGGCATGTGATCCTTCCCCTCAGATCACAAAGATCCCCTGGAGCAGGTGGCTGTGCTAGCATCTTTGGGAATCTTCTCTTTCCTGGGACTGGTGGCTGGGGCCCTGGCAGTGGGGCTCTGGTAAGTGACTGCCCTTGGTCCCTCAGCCTCTGATCCCTGCAGATGCCCTGATGCCGATAGACCACATTTATCCCCACCCTTCATGATTTCCCATTGACTTCCCACTGAACCTGATTCTGGAATTACCTCCCCTTACCTCCATCTCCCACATCCACTTCATGATTCTCCTGATTCCTCTCCTGATCCTTTACTAATAAACCCTTTTGGAGGAGACTGAGATAATTCACATTGTTGGGGAGACAGCTGCCTTTTTATGCCCCAGGCTGAAGCTGAGACAGAGTAGGAAGGATGGACCCCAAAAGCCTGGGTTCTTGGCCCCAATGATTCCAGTGGACAAGCTTCCAGGTGAGTAGGACCTCCAGGAGGTTTGGACTCAGAAAAGTGTGCCCCATTTTGAGAGTGTCTGGATTAAGAGCTGGTTACCCCTCTCATTTTCAGGGTGTTGGGAATCCAAGTTGGATTTCTCATTGTTGAGTCCCTGGGCTCAGAAGTGAGTCTCTTTCCTTTCTCTCAGGATACTGAGGATTCCAGATAGACTCCCCTCCCCATTTTCAGGGCGTTAGACTCAGAGCTAGATATCCATCTTTCTTTAGGGGACATGTCTTAGATCACTGCTGGGTCCCCTCCCTCATTTTTGGCATTTGTGGGCCCAAAGCTAGATCTACTCCCTCATCCTTAGGATGTTGAAGGATCCCTAAGAGTTGGGCTCCTGTATTTATTCTCAGTGCTGGGTTCAGAACTGGGTCATCTCCCTCATTCTCAGGGTGTCTGGGCCAAGATCCAGTCCTATTATCTCTCCTGATTTGCCTCCTACTTTTTCTAGGAGCTCCAAACCTGTAGAAGACCCAGGAAGGCTTCAGCTGATTCCACCTATAACTCTGTCTTGCTGGTATGGATGGATGGACAGATAGAACCCAGCCAGGACAGTAATCCCTATGGACAGGGGCTCAGCTGGAAGTTTTGTTTGGAGTCCATTTCTGTGAGACCCTGTATTCCATACTTGTCAGCTGAAAGGTGCCTGGACCTCTGATTTCATCCCGTAGCTGGAGTTCCACCTGAGGAACGTGTGCAGATGTGTATGTTTGTGTCCACGTGTGACCATCTGTATGTGAGGCAGGGAACGTGTGTTCTATGCATGCATGCATGTATGTATGTGGGTGCCTGGGGAGTGTGTGTGGGTCCTTGGCTCTTGGCCTTGTCCCTTGCAGGGGCTGTGAAAATGCAAATAAAGAGAATGAAGAAGTTCTTGGGGATCACATTCAGAGATTATTATCCAATGCTGCTTTATTATTTTGGCTGTTGGGGGCTCCAGCCCATCTTCCCTGGCAGCCCCAACTTCAGGTTGGGCAGAGTTCTCTGGAGCCTTCTCCCTTGGTGCTCAAACCACCGAGCCAGGCTGCGGTTCTGGGGGTGGACGCATACGCTGCGTCGAGCCATGTGAAGCCTGGGGAGGGAACGGTCCAAAGCTATGCCCATAGCTTGGGGATGAAGTTAGGGTCCCAGAGCCAGGGGCAAGGACTAGATGAAAACCTGAGTCAGCATCAGAATTAGCAGTTTGGGTTGGGGTTGGGATCAGCATCAGGGGTTGGGAATGAGGTCAGAGTCAGGGGTGTCAGGGTGGGGGTAAGAGCTCACACGAAAGCCTGGAGATGACAGTCCCCATCAGCCTCCTGAAGTTCCACCCGGATGACCTTCTTCAGTAGCTTGTTTGAGAGTGGCTGTCGGTAGAGCTGAGTACAGCAGGTAGTGCTGGATGGTATTAGCAATACTAAGGGACAACAGGGCCGTGTGTTTGGAGGAGTCTTCAGCAAGAACCTCTCCATCAGAGGTTGGAGGTTAAGTTGGACTTCCTGGGCTTCTTTCTCTTCATCCCATTTACCACCCCCTCCCCCAGTTTTCTAGACCCCCAAGTACTCACCTGCTCCCAAATCTGGGCTTAGGAGCAACAATAGCAGGAAGAAGCTGCTAGTCAGTGAGGGCTCCTTCATGCTGCTCAGCCTGGAAACTTCCTTCTCTTTCCTCCTCCTCCTCTACCTTTTATCTGGTATCATCACGTGGTGCCTTTTGCCTGGGGGCACCAGGTGAGTCAGAGGCAGGTGGAGATGTAGTGCTTATCGGGTGACCCTAATCCTTAGTTTGTTGTCACAGACCCCTTCCTCTTCCAGGCCTGCCATTTCCCATGGGCTTCTAAGCCCTGGGCAGAGAAGCTGGGGAGTTAGTGAGTGCATGATGTGGGAACTGATGACACAGTGACTAAGAGCAGTCAAGGATCCACACCGGCATCTAATGATAGACATTCACACTCCTGTACCCATAGCCACCCATTCACAGTCATACCTTGATTACTCAATCAACCTCACAAAGTGATACATGCCACAGACAAAATCATACAGCCCCGTTATTCCCCAAGGTGCACTCTCACACAGCTGTTTTCACAATCAGTCACACTCACAATCACACTAGCACACACAGATTCTGACAGGGGAGTGATGGGTGGGGTGGGAGCAGAGGGCAGGCCAGCACCAACTTGCCTTCATCTTCTCCTCCCTACTTCCTGCCCTGGCCTGCCTGTCTTACTAGGAAAAACTGATGGGAATGGGTCCCTAAGGCAGGTCCTTCTTGCTAAGGACAGGTTTTGGCGGAGGCCAGCCACATTCAAAGAGGCTGGGAGAAGGCCCTTTTTGGTAATGTTGATAGTGCCTTGGAGATGCTGAGGTGGGGGCTGCATTCCCCAGGAAGATGAGACAAGGAGAAAAGTGGCGTGGATGAGGAGGGAAGATAAAAGCTCTTTGGTGCCAGGTTGCTATTGCTGTTGTCAAAACAGCTGAAAGGCCCAAGAAATATTACCTTCTTGTTTTTGTCTAGTCCTGTTCCAGGAATGTCAACCTCTTGCCAGCAGGGGCCTAGGGTCTCCAGATTCAGTCCCTGACTTGGAGACAAACTCACGAGCTCAATTACCTCTCTTGTTCTACTCAAATTCCTATCTTTTCCCTCTGTGGGCCTCGAGGAACATCTTGGCTCCTGACTCAGGTTCAGTAATAAATACACTCATCTCCAACCCCTATACCCTCTGTCTGCCATCCTCCAGCCGCCCTAGCCCCAACCTCCCATCTCCTTCCTGTCTTTCTCTTCTAACCTCACCCAGCACTCATTCCCCTCCTACCCACCTTCCCCCAATGCAAATTCCTACCCCTCTTCATGCAGTTCTTTCCAGGAAGCTGGGAACTGCTTAGGGTGGGGCAGGGGTCAGGGCATGCTGCTGGGCTTAGTGCTCCTGGCTCCTTAAAAAATTTCCCACCTCTGGACTAGGGATTGCAATCCTCAAGTCCTGCTCTGTATATGAAACATAAATTGAGTCAGAACCCAATAATCCAGCCTTTATCTGGTTGTTGCAGGGGTACCTTCTACAGTCTTCTGGGGCCAGCCATGTTCTATGGGGCAGGCTTTCTCTTGGGATAGGACTCATGCCTTCTCTGGGCAGCTCTTTCTGCTGCAGGACTGCTTCAACAATCTGGATGGACTTCAGCTCTCAAAGTAGGGACTAGTCCCCTTCCAGGCTGAAAATTTGAGACTCTCCTCCTTCCTGTCCAGGGTGAAGCTTGAGGGCGATGCCATGGAGTTTGTCTCTGGGATCTTCAGGTCTTCTGCCAGCATCCTGGTGACATGTGAGCTCAGGGCTAGACAGGGCACTCAACATTTGAAAGGGCCTTTATTTGTTTTTTAACCCCAGAAGTCCTAGAGACAGATGAAGGGGTCTTTGATGCAGACATTGTGAGGAAATGGCTCAAGAGCTGGGCCACTTTCCTGAAGCTGACCACAACCCAGAGGTCATTCATCTTGAACTTCTGGTACGAGAAGACTTAGGGTCCCTCTCCTACCCTCCGTCTAGACTGTACCCCAGAGCTTGGGTGTAGCCATTGAGGAAGTCCCAAGGAAGTCCCCAAGGTTCCATAGTCTTATCATAGACCTTTCCTCATCAGCTGGCTACCTGCCACACACTTTGTGGTCTTTCCTGGACTTATCAGTTCAGAGACCTTTAGAAGGCCGGAAGCAAATTCTTCCATCTCTCCCCAAAGGTAAGGCCAAGTCGTCTCCCCAACCGCAGTCTGTTGTGGCAGGGGCTGCCACAGGCTGAAAGTCAGCTTTGGCCCTAGCAGGCAACTGGGCTGTCTCTTTAACTTAATCCTCTGGTGCCCTTTCTGGAGATAGGGCCAGTTGGTAACTGAAAGCAGGTCCATAAAGCAGTCCCTGACCCTCACTACTTTAGGAGTTAGTGGGTCCCAGGCTGACTGGGTGGCAAAGACAGAAGGGCGTGGCAAGGAGAAGTGGCCCTTGGACTCTCCTAGGGAGTTAGTAAGAACTGCTGGGTGGGCTGATGCCAAGTATCTCTAAACTTGGAATCATACTGGGGGAGCCAGAAGTTGGAATATTAACTGGAGGAAAGGTCTCCAACCCAAGTCACTCCCCTGTGGCAGGCAGCTTCTAGGAATCTTTCCCTCCTCTCACTTGCAGCCTACATCCTACACTTCTGGCTTAAAATGTTTTAGATGCACTCCCAGGAAGAGACGATTCTTCAGATACCTGGCAAAGTCCTGGGTAGGAGGAAGGTGGTAAGAGAGAGCTGGGTTATGGGAACACATCAACGTGGGGCTAAGGTTGAGAGGAAGATCAGGCCAGGATTTAGTTCTCTCCATATAGGCAACTCACAGTTATGGGTGTTTTTTTGCGGGGGGTGGAGGGATGGGGAAGCAAGAGTAACAGGAGGCCTGATACTGATGGGAGGGCCCTTAGGAATAATGGGAGCCTTGAAATGGAAGGGCACCCTAACAGGGAGGGAAGCCCCGTCAGTAAGGAAACAGCCGGCGTGGAGAGGGGCTCTCAGCTCGAATGGCTGCAGCGGCGTCAGAGTCAAGAGGTCAGTACGGTGGGCTTCGGCTTAAATCTTTAATGCACCGACTGGCTGGGCAGCGGCGGTGGGGGTGCGGCTACGACCCGAGCGCTGGGGAGCAGGGCCCAGGCCGCTCGACAGACAGCTCATCAGGCCCCGCAGAGACTCCAGCTTCTGCTCCCCAGGGTGCGCCGAGCTGTGGGGCGAGCCGACACTGGCATGAGGCGGGCGGGGGCTACCGGATTCCCCCCGATCCGTCCTCAGAGATTAAGCCTCGTCCATGCCCAGGGCAGGTCCGCGGTATCGCAGCCCCCTCACCTCCGCTCCCTACGCCACATGCGTAGCCAGGGGAAAAAGTAGAAACAGCCCCAGTAGATCCTGCAGAGAGAAGGCAGAGCCGGGCGGGGCGGGGCGGCGCTGACCCCACAGGCCCCGCCCCTCGAACGCCTCGCCCTCGAGGACGGCTCCGCCCCGCCCCTTAAAGGCGGCCCTTCACAGCCCACGCCCCCTCGGACGCCCCGCCCGCCCGCGCACCTCGCCCCCAGAGAACACGCACCCTCCCCCAACCCGGGAGCCGCCTGGTTCCTCCTCCGCAGAACCCCGCCTCCACTCACTCCTCCTCCGCCTCCAGCGCCACCTCGTATCTCCTCAATCCCGACATGTCCTGGGCTCCGAACGTCTCCTGGGGAGCAGCATGATTGAATCAAGGGTTCCCCAAACCCAGGTCCCCTTCTCCGTCATTCTCAGGACGAGTCTGGCTAGCTCTCAGGTAATCTGAGGCTGGAGCTCTCGGGAAGCCTCAGTTGCCACTCTGGGACAGGGTGGGCTTGAAGATTTAGGAGGCATTACAAGTTAAGGTTAGGAGGTTGGTCATCTCGGGAACCTGGGGCATTTAAGGGGTCAGGGCGAGAGGTTTGGTAGTCATGGGGCTGGGAGATTTGGGGCTCTGGGTGAGGATTTTCAGGGGCTGGGGGTCACCTGGAGGGGGGCTGAGGGGTCGGCACAGCCTAAACTCCCGCCCTCCCTGGCTCCACCCCGGAAACAGACCGTTACCATTACGTCACTGGGACGACGTCGCGCTCTAGGGGTGGGGCTTGCCTATCACCCGGAAGAGGTGGGGCCAGCATGTCTACCAGCGGGACGGAGTCAAAATGTCACTCTGGGAGGTGGAGCCAGGAGCTGTCACTAAAGGGGCGGAGTCAGGGTTTATTACGGTATCCGACACAGGACTGTTTTTTATGGAGTTGGAGTCAGATTTTGGAGTTACACCCTGGGAGCAGGGGCCTCAGCACCAGGCAGCAAGAAAAGAACTTTGAGACGGCCCAGTACTGTTTCCTAGTCAGCACTCCTCATTTCCCCTCCCTGGCTCTGCCCCACAAATTGCCTTTCTTGCCTGCCCCACTCCCCATGTACGACCCTGGGCTGGGAGTAATAGGCCCCCAGAGAGAACTCAGTCTAGGCCAGGCCAGGCTAAGGAAATGCTTGGCTGAGTGACCTTGGCCAAGATACTTAATGGCCTGGAGGGGGGCGTCATAGCCCTGCCTCTCAGCTGAGACCTATCTTCCTGTGATTTTCTTTTTTTTTATCCTACAATCATTCAATCGACAGATATTCACTGAGTGTCTGTTAGGTGCCAGGCAATGTGCTGGGTGTGGGGATATAGTGGTAAAGAAGACAAGCAATCTCTGGCCTCAGAGCTTGTCACCAGGAATGGGTTGGGGGTCAAAAGAGAATAATGAGATCTTTACAGTAAACATAGCAGGCTGGCTGGGGGAAGTAGAGAGTGCTGCAGAAGAGTTAGAAAGGGCAATTAACAACGTGTAATGTTGGAAATAGCTGCCCCAGACCTCTGACATCACAGCCAAGGCCCAATACTGAGCCATAATTAGTCTGAAGAGGGGAGAAGAGAGTGTTGTGGCTGGGCTGACTGCATGGGAGAAAGTGACAGAAATGAGTGAGGTGAAAGTTACCTTAGATTGAAATGTGAAGAATGGATACCCCTATCCTTGACCCCATCCCACCCTATTTCTCCCTGTCATATCTGTCTTCCTCTGCCTGAGCCACGGAGAGCAGACAGATCCACTGGTGCCAAGTGGCTTTATTGGAAGCATTGCAGTCCGGTGTGAGCAGCTGTGCCCTCACTGCACTCACCCTCTTGCTCACACTCACAGTCACATTGACACTCCAGGCCCTGCCTTGGCCGGGCCAGGTCTGGTGTAGAGGAGCTGGAGGCCTGGGCCTCCATTCTGGTCCTCAGTTCCCCAGGCCAGGGTGATTCACATGCCTTCACTCAGACACAGGGCTCTTTTTGGCACTGTCGTGGGCTAACTGTTGTGACACTTGCTCTCAGGATCATGGGTTGGACTCTTAGGGGCTCAGAGGGAGGAGGCTGGGCAGGGGAGGGCCAGGTCTTCTTCAGGCTCTGGATTATGTGGTCTACCCAGTGCTGATTTGGAGGTGCACAAAACTGGTGGCCCCTCAGTGTAGGTAATCTAGACTTGGAGAGAATGGATCCCTGGCACTCAGCTTCCTGGAAGGCCCTGGTATGAGAGGCAGAAGGTGAGGACCACATCTGGGAACCTGCTGTAGGGACTTCCTTGTGGGAGGGACTGGGCAAGGAGAAGGAAAGTGAGATGGTGAGTGGAGGGCTGGATGATGGAGGAAGTGACTGGAAGGGGAAGAGCCTGGATACTCTCCACCTCTGACTCACAGGACAAAGTCCCTCTGCAGCAGAAGACACTAAAAATGTTCTCAGGAATTGGATGTTAGTTTGCTAAGAAGCAGAGTTCTCAGAGTCCTCAGAGTCATTGGCATCACTCAGAGCTGGACGGTGGGTATTAGATTTAGAGCATAAGGGACCCAAAGGTCCTTGGCTGTGGCCTTCCCACCTTACAGTCACACCTGTGTCCAGCGCCATAGCTTTAGTGTTGCTCTCTCTTCCACCCACAGGCACTATCTTCTTCCTCTGGGAAACCCAGGCTAGATGAGACTGAGCCTATAGAGAGAAGAGCAGCCAGACGCTCCAGGACTCATCCAGGCACTGACATGTAGAGGAACACCTGGGGCACAGGCACATCTATGTCACACAGGAGCACACACAGGACACAGGCATACCCACACCACTCAGGCACACACAGATGGCATAGGAAATCACACAATGCACAGGTATACCCATGTCATATAGGGACATACAGTCACCACAAGGGCACACCCATTTGGCACATGTACAGTCTCAGGTTCATACTCAGACCTGGGTGCTGACATGAACTCACAGTATCCTTCACAGACTCCCCAGGACTGTGCACCAGTCCCTGCTATGCCCCTCACCTTACTGTTTAGCCCCTGCTCCATTTTACCTCCTCTTGGCAAGGAGATCAATGTGCTGAGAAGATGAGTGGTGGCCATCCTGGAGGCCACAGAGGATGGACAGAGATGGAGACATGGACAGAGTCCCTGAGAGCAGGAGTCCTGTGTGAGACTGTGTGTGAGGAGAGCAAGCAGGAGGGTGATCGTGAGGGTGAGGAAGTCCTTGGAAGCCTGTGAGGGTCTTGTGAGAGTGTGTGGGAGCTTGTGGGAGGCTGTGGCTGTCCCCTGTTTAAAGCTTTCATTTTCAACATTCAGAAATGTTCTCTTTTCTGGTGTATAATAAAGAATTTGACTGGCCTTTGTTCCTGGTTCCTGAGACAGAGACTAAATCATTGGAATTTCCCAAGTAATAGGTGTGTTGAGCCCCTTGGATCACACCTGAGGTGTTTGTGTTTGTGTTTTTGGGATTTTTTTTTGAGACAGAGTCTCACTCTCTTGCCTGGGCTAGAGTGCCATGGCTTCAGCCTAGCTCACAGCAACGTCAAACTCCTGGGCTCAAGCGATCTTTCTGCCTCAGCCTCCCAAGTAGCTGGGACTACTTGGGAGTCCCATGGTGGCATGCGCCACCATGCCCCGCTAATTTTTTCTATATATGTTTAGTTGGCCAATTAATTTCTTTCTATTTTTTTAGTAGAGACAGCATCTTGCTCTTGCTCAGGCTGGTTTAGAACTCCTGACCTTGAGCAATCCTCCTGCCTCGGCCTCCCAGAGTGCTAGTATTACAGGCATGTGCCGCCACGCCCGACCTTGTTTTTGTTTTTGAGACAGGGTGTCTGTCATGCCTGCTAGAGTGCAGTGGCATCATCATGGCTCACTACAACCTCAAACTCCTGGGCTCAAGTGATCCTCTTGCCTCAGTCTCCCAAACAGCTGGAACTACAGGTTTCTGCCACCATGCCCAGCTAATTTTTCTATTTTTTGTAGAGACGGTGTCTCATTCTGACTCAGGCTCACACCTGAGTTTATGCTAAGAAATGAGGTGACTCAGGATGGGGGCTGGTCACCAGAAAGACCAGCCATGTGATTAAAGGGTTGGGACTTAGAGCCAGCCTCACCTCTGGGGAGGCTAAGGGAACTAGAGATTAAGTTCAGGTATGTGGTCAACAATCATGCCAATATAATGAAATCTCAGTAAAAACTCTGGACACCAAAGCTCATAAAACTTTCTGGCTGGTGCACACATTGATGTACCAGAAGGGTGGTATACCTTGTGTCTCCACAGGGAGACCAGACCTCACCTTATGTGTCTCTTCATTTGGCTTTTCTCGATTTATACCCTTTATAAAAGATCGTAAGCATACCACAACTTTCCTGAATTCTATGAGTCATTCTAACAAATTATCAAAACTGAGGGTGGTAGTGAGAACCTCCTAGACTTATAGCCAGTTGCTCAGAAATGTAGGTGGCTTGGGGACCCTACTTGTAGCTGTCATCTAAGGTGAGGGCAGTCTTGTTGGGGACCTTCCCCCTAAACCTCCTCTGGAGGCTGATGCCAGCTCTGGGCGGTTAAGATCAGAAATGAATCACAATCCATGAGTAGGTAGCAGAGTACCTTCCCACTGGAGCCACTCCCCGTGTTCCCCTCTTTGTGGAAGAACTTCTTTTCCCTTTCATAACTCTCCCTGCATTGATTTCTTACTCCTTGGATTCAGTAATCAGCAGTCTGGACAAGGGGAGGAGGGCGCTGTTACTGTTAGGGGAAGGTTTGCAAGGTTTGCAGCGCTGTCCCCTTGGAGGCATTTGACCCATCAGTCACAAGGCTGGGGTGTCAGGGTTTGGTTCAGGATTAGAGGTCAGGTAAGGAGTGTCTCTCTCTTCCCCAAGTTTCTTCTCACTCTCACCTCTTCTCTGTAGTCCTAAGACACATGGGGGTAGGAAAAATGGCACATAGCCAGTCCTCCAGATTCCTTGAGGGAAGTCATAGGAGCAGAGTGAGGCTGGCTAGAGAAGATCCCCTCCAGATTCTCCAGACCTCCCTGAGCCCATCATTGTGCCTGCACATCTACCATATGGTACCCATTCTTCCCATGGATAAGAAAAGCTAAAAGGAACATTCTTTGGAAGCTAAAAGGAACATTCTTTGGAAGCTGGTCCAGCTACCCTATCTCACATCTCTGGACTCTAGGACTTCACCCTTTGGACCCAGCCAGCACTGTCCCTCTCCCTCATTGATCCATTTTCCCATGCCCCAGAGCTGAGTCAGAGGAATATCTAGAGGGGAACCTGGCCTAGAACACCCCCTTCTACCATGCCCTCTCTGTCCTGGGAATTGAGAGGGATTTCTGAGGAGAGGGAGAGCTTACAGCCTGCAGAGAGACAAGAGGGAGACTGTGAAGCAGGCTCACGTGTGCTGGTTACCAGCTTGTCTGGGTCCAGTGAGACAGAATGCTCTCATACACAGGCAGCAAGTCACGTGAAGTGGATTTACTACATGCAGGCAGCCAGAGACAACAGAGGTCTCGGTTCATTGTGAGCCAGGCCCCCAAGGCTCAGGAAAGCTGCTCAGAGCAGATGAAGTCTCATCTGCCCGTGCCCCTCTTACATTTCAGCTAAGGGACCCTGGAAAGCATCCCATCCTGGGTTTTATCCCCCCAGAGCAATATGAATTACTGGGCTAAAACACTGAAGGACATTCTGTTTCTGGGCTGGGACTGGAACAGAGCCTGGGCTGTTCTGGCCAGCTCTCCTTTATCTCAGCATGTTGCATTTCCAGCACATTCTTCAGTTATTCTTGAGAACTACAAGTGAGAAAGAGGGGAGAACTGGGTCAGTGCAAGGCCGCTCAGAGAACTATCTTGCTAG